TACACACACAGACACACATGCATTAACACACACAATAAACGCACACACACAGACACACACACACTAACAAACACACATGCATTAACACACTAATGCACACACACACTAAATACACATTAATACACACTAAACATGGATTAACACACACACACAAGCGCGTTAACACACATACGCATATTAACACACGCATTACACACACAGACACACATGCATTAACACACACACACACACACACACACACACACACACACACTAACAAACACGCATGCATTAACACACTAACACACACACACACACACACACTAAATACACACTAAACATGGATTAACACACACACAAGCGCGTTAACACACATACGCATATTAACACACGCATTACACACACAGACACACATGCATTAACACACACAATAAACGCACACACACAGACACACACACACTAACAAACACACATTCATTAACACACTAATGCACACACACACTAAATACACATTAATACACACTAAACATGGATTAACACACACACACAAGCGCGTTAACACACATACGCATATTAACACGCATTACACACACAGACACACATGCATTAACACACACAACACACACACATACACACACACACACACTAACAAACACGCATGCATTAACACACTAACACACACACACACACACACACACTAAATACACACTAAACATGGATTAACACACACACAAGCGCGTTAACACACATACGCATATTAACACACGCATTACACACACAGACACACATGCATTAACACACACACATACACACGCACACACACTAACAAACACGCATGCATTAACACACTAACACACACACACACACTAAATACACACTAAACATGGATTAACACACACACAAGCGCGTTAACACACATACGCATATTAACACGCATTACACACACAGACACACATGCATTAACACACACAATAAACGCACACACACAGACACACACACACACTAACAAACACACATGCATTAACACACTAATGCACACACACACTAAATACACATTAATACACACTAAACATGGATTAACACACACACACAAGCGCGTTAACACACATACGCATATTAACACGCATTACACACACAGACACACATGCATTAACACACACAACACACACACATACACACACACACTAACAAACACACATGCATTAACACACTAATGCACACACACACTAAATACACATTAATACACACTAAACATGGATTAACACACACACACAAGCGCGTTAACACACATACGCATATTAACACGCATTACACACACAGACACACATGCATTAACACACACAACACACACACATACACACACACACACACTAACAAACACGCATGCATTAACACACTAACACACACACACACACACACACTAAATACACACTAAACATGGATTAACACACACACAAGCGCGTTAACACACATACGCATATTAACACACGCATTACACACACAGACACACATGCATTAACACACACACATACACACACACACACACTAACAAACACGCATGCATTAACACACTAACACACACACACACACTAAATACACACTAAACATGGATTAACACACACACAAGCGCGTTAACACACATACGCATATTAACACACGCATTACACACACAGACACACATGCATTAACACACACACATACACACACACACACACTAACAAACACGCATGCATTAACACACTAACACACACACACACACTAAATACACACTAAACATGGATTAACACACACACAAGCGCGTTAACACACATACTAACACATATAACTAATTAACTATTAATAACATATTAATATTAACTAATACATACTAACACATAACATATTAACACACGCATTACACACACAGACACACATGCATTAACACACACACACACAAACAAACAAACACACATGCATTAACAACACACACACACTAAATACACATTAACACACACACTAAACATGGATTAACACACACATGTGCGTTAACACACAACAAACACATACACAGAGCCTGATTTAATGTGAAATGACGTGTGTGTGTGTGTGTACACTCACAGACTGATGACGGCGTCTGATTTCTTCATGTCGTCGTGTCGCTCCACTTTGTGCTGGTTTTGACCCAAATGAGCAAACCTATCAACACACACACGCACACGCACGCACACGCACACGCACACACACACAAACATTATGCATCTGTCTGTGCATGTGTGTGTGCATGTCTAAATAAGTGTGTGCGCATGAGTGTGTGTGAGTGCATGTGTGTCTGTACATGTGTGTGGCTTGTGTGTGAGTGCATGTCTGAGCATGTGTGTGTGTTTGTACACTTGTTGTGTGTGTGCGTGCATGTCTATGTGTGTGTGTTTGTCTGAGTGAGTGAATGTCCACGTGTGTGCAAGTGTGCGAGTTTACTGCGCATGTGTGTGTTTGTCTGTGTGAGTGCATGTCTGTGCATGTATGCTTTTGTCTGAGTAGTGTGTGTTTGCGCATGTGTGTGCGAATGCATCTTTGAGAGTGTGTCTGTGCATGCATGTGTATGTCTGTAAATGTGTGTGCGCTTGTATGTCACAACGGTGAGTGTGTGTCCGCGCATGTGTTTGTGTGGATGTCTGAGTGTGTGTGTGTGTGTATGTGTGTGCGTGTGTATGTATGCGTGCATGCATGTGTGAGAGTGTGTCTATGCATGCATGTGTGTGCTTGGCTGTACGCATCTGTGAGTGTGTGTCTGCGCGCGTGTGTGTGTGTGTGTGCATATCTGTGCATGTGCTGGTCTGAGTGAGGGAATGTCTGTGTGTGTGCATGATTGTGTGAGAGTGCATGTGTGTCTGTACATGTGTGTGAGTGCATGTCTGTGCAGGTGTGTTTTTATCTGAGTGTGTGTGTGTGTGTGCATTTGTGTGTGTGTGTGTACATGTCTGTGCGCTTGTGTGTGTTTATATGTGTGTGTGTGTGTGCATGAGTGTGTGTGTGTGCATGAGTGTGTGTGAGTGCATGTGTGTCTGTACATGTGTGTGGCTTGTGTGTGAGTGCATGTCGGTGCATGTGTGTGTATGTCTGTGCAGGTGTTTGTGTATGTGCATGTGTGTGAGTGCCTAAGTGAGTGTCTGTGCGCTTGTGTGTGTAAGTGCATGTCTGTGCATGTGTGTGTTTGTGCGCGCGCAGGCATGTGTAAGAGTGTGTCTGTGCATGCATGTGTGTGTCTGTACGTGTGTGTGCTTGTCTGTAAGTAACTGTAAGTGTGTGCGCGTGCCTGTGCACGTGGTTTTGTGTTTGTATTGAGTGAGTGCGTCTCTGTGCGTGTGTGTGTGTGTGTGTGTGTAAGTGCGTGTCTGCATGTGTGTGATTCTGTACATGTCTGTGCGCCTGTTGTGTGTAAGTGCATGTCTGTGCATGTGTGTGTGTGTGTGCTCATGCATGTGTGAGAGTGTGTCTGTACATGTGTGTGTGTGCTTGTCTGTACGCATCTGTACGTGTGTACATGTGTCTGTGAATGGGTTTGTAAGAGAGAGTGCATCTCTCTGTGTGTGCGTTTGTGTAAGTGCGTATCTGTGTGTGTGTGTGTGTGTGTGCATATGTCTGTGTGCTTGTTGTGTGTGAGAGTGCATGTCTGTGTGTGAGTGTGTGTGTGCGTGCATATGTCTGTGTGGTTGTTGTGTGTGTGAGGGCATGTCTGTGCATGTGTGTGTTTGTCTGAGTGTGTGTCTGTGTGTGAGTGTGTGTGTGCGTGCATATGTCTGTGTGGTTGTTGTGTGTGTGAGTGCATGTCTGTGCATATGTGTGTTTGTCTTTGTGTGTTTGTCTGAGTGTGTGTGTGTGTGTGTGTGCATATGTCTGTGCACTTGTGCGTGTGAGTTAATGTCTGTGGATGTGTGTGTTTGTATGAGTGAGGGTCTGTCTGTGAGTGTGTATGTCTGTGAATATGTGCATATGTCTGCGCTTGTGTGTGTGTGAGTGTGTGTCTGTGCATGTGTGTGTTTGTCTGAGTGTGTGTGTGTGTGTGCGCATATGTCTGTGCACTTGTGTGTGTGATTGCATGTCTGTGGATGTGTGTGTTTGTCTGAGTGTGTGTGTGTGTGAGTGTGTGTCTGTGCATGTGTGTGTTTGTCTGTGCATGTGTGTGTTTGTCTGAGTGTGTGTGTGTGTGCGCGCATATGTCTGTGCACTTGTGTGTGTGATTGCATGTCTGTGGATGTGTGTGTTTGTCTGAGTGTGTGTGTGTGTGAGTGTCTGTCTGTGCATGTGTGTGTTTGTCTGAGTGTGTGTGTGTGTGCGCGCATATGTCTGTGCACTTGTGTGTGTGATTGCATGTCTGTGGATGTGTGTGTTTGTCTGAGTGTGTGTGTGTGTGAGTGTCTGTCTGTGCATGTGTGTGTTTGTCTGAGTGTGTGTGTGTGTGCGCGCATATGTCTGTGCACTTGTGTGTGTGATTGCATGTCTGTGGATGTGTGTGTTTGTCTGAGTGTGTGTGTGTGTGAGTGTGTGTCTGTGCATGTGTGTGTTTGTCTGAGTGTGTGTGTGTGTGCGCGCATATGTCTGTGCACTTGTGTGTGTGATTGCATGTCTGTGGATGTGTGTGTTTGTCTGAGTGTGTGTGTGTGTGTGCGCGCGCATATGTCTGTGCACTTGTGTGTGTGAGTGTGTGTCTGTGCGTGTGTGTGAGTGTGTGTCTGGTCATGTGTGTGTTTGTCTGAGTGTGTATGTGTGTGTGCGCGCATATGTCTGTGCACTTGTGTGTGTGATTGCATGTCTGTGGATGTGTGTGTTTGTCTGAGTGTGTATGTGTGTGCGCGCATATGTCTGTGCACTTGTGTGTGTGATTGCATGTCTGTGGATGTGTGTGTTTGTCTGAGTGTGTGTGTGTGTGTGTGCGCGCATATGTCTGTGCACTTGTGTGTGTGAGTGTGTGTCTGGTCATGTGTGTGTTTGTCTGAGTGTGTGTGTGTGTGTGTGTATGTGTGCGCGCGCATATGTCTGTGCGCTTGTGTGTGTGTGAGTGCATGTCTGGGCATGTGTGTGTTTGTCTGAGTGTGTGTGTGTGTGTGTGTGTGTGTGTGTGTGTGTGTGTGTGTGCGCGCGCATATGTCTGTGCGCTTGTGTGTGTGTGAGTGCATGTCTGGGCATGTGTGTGTTTGTCTGAGTGTGTGTCTGTCTGTGAGTGTCACATGTTGCTGAAGTGTGATGATGATGATGATGATGATGATGATGACTGTTCTTCTCTTATTTCTTCACCTCTTCAACCTCCTTCACAGAGCTGCATCTCACGGTCATGTTTTCAGCTCAGGAATGTGTCTCTTTGTGTGTGTGTGTGTGTGTGTGCGTCTGCTCTGTGTATTTCTATCATGATAGTGTATTGAGTGTCTAGAAACGTCCTCACGTGTTCCTCATCCACACCTCATGTCTGCCTGAATGAGCAATACTGTACTTAAAGCTGTAGTTAAAGTTAAAGCTGCATCCCCTCACTGTTAGGGGCTTAAATGATCAGCAGAAATGAGTATGTACACCCTTACAGATCTCTTTCTTACATTCAGTATACAGAGCATCCTGAAAGTATTGATGTCGCTTCACTTTTTTCCACATTTATGTTAATTACACATCTTATTACAAAATGGATCAAATTGATTTTTTCCTCAACATTCTACACACAATCCCCCATAATGACAATGTGAACAAAGAGTTTTTGAAATTGTTGCAGATTTATTAACAATAAAAAGCTGATAAATCACATGCTCAATGCTCAATGCTCTGTTGATGAACGTTTGTCAGTGATTACAGCCTCAAGTCTTTCTGAATATGATGCACAAGCTCTGCTCATCTGTCTTTGGGAATATTCGGCCGTTCCTCTTTGCAGTACCTCTCAAGCTCTATCAGGTTGGATGGGAAGCGACGGCGTGCAGCCATTTTCAGATCTCTCCAGAGAAGCTCAATAGGATTTAGGTCTGGGCTCTGGCTGGGCCACTCAAGGGCATTCCCCGAGTTGTTGTGAAGACACTCCATTGATATTTTGGCGTTGTGCTTTGGGTCATTGTCCTGCTGGAGGATGAAGCGTCGCCCCAGTCTGAGGTCAAGAGCACTCTTGTGCAGGTCTTCATTCAGGATGTCTCTGTACATCGCTGCATTCATCTTTCCCTCTATCCTGACTAGTCTTCCAGTTCCTGCTGCTGAAACATCCCCACAGCATGATGCCAACACCACCATGCTTCACTGTAGAGATGCTGTTAGCCTGCTGATGAGCGCTGCCTGCTGTTCTCCAAACGTAACGCCTGGCGTTCACTCCAAACAGTTCAGTTTGAGTCTCATCAGAGCAGAGAGTTTAGTTTCTGATGCTCTGAGAGTCCTTCAGATGCAAACTCCAGGCGGGGAGTGTCTTCCGTCTGGACACTCTACCATACAGATGCCTGATTGGTGGATTGCTGCACAGATGGTTGTCCTTCTGTAAGGTTCTCCTCTCTCCACAGAAGAACACTGGAGCTCAGACAGAGTGACCATCGGGTTATTGATCACCTCCCTAAGGCTCTTCTCCCCCGATCGCTCAGCTTAGATGTCCGGCCAGCTCTAGGAAGAGTTCTGGTGGTTAAACATCTTCCACTTACGGATGATGGAGGCCGCTGTGCTCATTGGAGCTTTCATAGCAGCAGAAATGTTTCTGTAAGCTTCCCCAGCCTTGTGCCCCAAGACAATCCTGTCTCGGAGATCTACAGACAGTTCATTTGTATTCATGCTTAGTTTTGTGCTTTGACATGCACTGTCAACCCTGGGCCCTTATATAGACAGGTGTACGCCTTTAAATCATGTTCAATCAGCTGAATTGAGCACAGGTGAACTCCAATGAAGCTGCTGAAACATCTCCAGAATGATCAGTGGAGACAGAATGAGCCTGAGCTCAGTTTAGAGCTTCACACCAAAGGCTGTGAATACTGATGTACATGTGATTCGCTTCACTGAACATCACTTACTGGTTTAATAATGATCAGGATAGCTGTAGTTACGCTGTTTTAATCTTCTAAGGGCGTATTATCAAAGTCCCTTTTAAGGTGTATTCTATAGTCTTTGTTATTATGCGGTCCTGTTGCCATCTCTGCCTTTGATCTACTCCATAGATATATACACTAGATGTCGCCTGGCCTATTGTTGTCTATTGGACCGAATGCGTCAATAGCGCCGCCATCTTGCTACAGGGTAGCGCTCCTTTGAAATGAATGCGGGACCAAGGTACAGTGGGGGACTGTGGCCATCCAAAGCCAGAGTTATACACATATACACATATATCTATGATCGGGAGATTCCTGGATGTTAGTGTGTAATTTTTTTTCTAATTACGAAAATTATAATTACACATCACTTTTCTACATTGATGGATCAGTGACCGCACGGGCATTCCTGACAAAAAGCTTGTGTTTGTGTGTACAGAAATGTACTATTCACCCTTCCTGTTAAATCTGATCTAACCGTGTCCTGAAACACAGCTCCTCTCCTGCTTTCACTTCTCATACTGACGGAGGGAGCGATTCGTTTGTGAATGAATCCCCCGAACGACTCTTTCACTAACGTTAGCCGACAATAATACAAGTTTCTGGCAGCGCAGCATCTCGTTGTCATGTTTCTTTGGCATTGTTTGATGATTTTATTCAACAAAACTAGCATAAGCCGAGTGTTTAGTGCGAGTTGGAGCTGCTTTGTCTTATGGTGAATGCAGTAAGTGACTGTTATCATCAATAACGTTACCTGATTAGCACAAACGTTCAGAACATACAAAAACAAAAAACTTAATATTACCTATGAAATGTTTTGCCTTTGTGCTTTGTTTTCTTTGTTTGCTCGTTTCTACACCCGTAGACAGCGCTAAAGTCCCGCATCTTCACGTAATAACACTGTCTTGACTAGTGCGGTTGAATGACATTTGTCCTGGGAGCACTGTACCAATGTGGCGGCGCTATTGACGCATGCTCAGGGTCCCTATGCGATATCTAGTGCATATATCTATGGTTCTACTCAGTATGGCAGGCTAATGACCGCCGACCCATTGTCTCTTTTAGAAATTGTAAATATTTTAAAATAGGAACTATTCTTATAAATAAACTGCATAGTTGCAATCTAAACAGCTACATTCTTGACTAAAAAGCCTCAAAACTGCCTAACAGCAGTAATATTTGTCAAACTGTAGAGCATCCTCTGCTTGTTGCAGGCTGTATGTGGGCAGAGTAATACACAGAGGTGAAGGGTGAAGAGGCCTTTGTGTGATGTTACTGGCAAAATATTGCACGGCTATCAGCCAATCAGATTAAAAAACCAGACAGAACTCTTG